ACAGTTTTCACATAAGATATTAGCTCTTTTCTGCTTTGGCAAGAGGTCATCAGGTAAAACTGAGGCCTGGTAAGGTAGCCCCTGCACATGCACTGCACAGCACTGTCAAGTTGCACCACAGCAAATGCTACAGCCCCACTGGCCACCTGTGGTGGCTCCTTGGCAGGGGTCGGTCCCAGTGGTGCTGAGAGTCCCTATCATGGTTTTTGTACACGGGTACGATGCATTAGCTAACAGTTTTCCAGGGGAGATGCCACTACCAAACTTTGTGACAGGTGGAGGGAAGGGAAATCAGAAGAGCAGGGCTGAATGCATGGAGGCAACAGGAGCCATATTGTGGCATCACAGACATGTGGGAAAGGGGGGACTTGAGCGGGAAGCGCTGGCTGAGGCACAAGCAGAGGAAAGGCACGGCCTGAAGTAAAGCAGGGAAGAATGAAAAGACAGGTAAGGAAGCCAGTGCTCACTCAGCAAGAATTTGCAGCAGTGAGGCCTGTTTATGCATATTAGCTGATAATAGAGTGATGAGAAGCTCAGGAAGACTGTGACCTCCATTTTACATCACACAGCCCTTCTCTACCTCCTGTCACCCGCAGGCAGGCAGGCAGGCATCTTCCCAGCGCTGGTTTCAGCATCAGTAACAGTCACCATTTTCTATGACCACAAGTATGTAGCAAATAATAACGATAAAAAAACCCCAAACGTCAGAGAGGAAGGAGTTCAGGAGGACTAGAGATTGTGCAAGTTAAGTGCTGACTCTGACAAAGGCAAGTAAGGAAGAAGCACGCTCTGGGTGGAGGCAGGAACGACATGTGTCAGTGGGAGATGACTGCATAGGGGACTCTTCTGTTTGGATACAAATTAGATCCCGGGTCCTCAAAGCTCAATTACCAACATCTTCACTAACTTAAAACATGAGATTCTAGTGCCAAACTGCAGAAACAGAAAATAATCTCATCTTGCTGTATGAACAGCAAGCAACTCCAAGTGCCACACCTAGCGAGGGATGCCAGAAATAGGAGGTCTCCTGGGATGATGGTACCCTCTGCCGTATGGGTCCCCGGCCTCCAGTCCCACGCCCTGCCTCAGTTCTGCCCCTCTTACAGACAGGGCAGCGTGCGGCAGAGGGGAAGCAGCCTCCCTTTCCTAGGAGCACAACTAAGCACTGACCAAAAGGCTCTTTTGTTGTGACACAAACAGTAAATGTGATTTTTTTGCCCTTGAAAACACGTACAAACTGTGGTTCACTCCCTGTTCTTCTACATCTTTTTTTTTTTTTTTTAATCTGCTTCTATTTTCAGCTCAGAATGTTAAACAGTGCTGGGTTTGGGCTCCCTAAATAGGCACAGGGAAACTGCAGTGAGCTAGAAAGCTGAATTTTATCTTTCGCTCTGAGGCTGAGAGCATTTTAGCTTTGTGTATTGTGTTGTCAGTACCTCGCTGTTATCCTTTAACCTGACAGCAAAAAACTTCCAAGTCTGTATCTGTTCCTGATGAGGGAAATGCAAGGAGGGATAGACTAATACATACAGACTAATCTTTTTACTTCATAAGAAAGCAACAAAGGAAATGTTTCCTTTTATATTTAATTTTTACAAGGTTTTCAGCTACTAACATAAGCAGTGTATGCATACTATAAAAAATTAACATCAGGGCTGCCCTTTTAGTAATTATGAGTGAAACAATTACAACTGAAAAGTTGTAGCATATCTTGTTGTTCTACGTGAATTATTATGTCTATTATCCTGGTTATTTACACATCATAATAAAGTGGGACTGTTTTGGTGCTCTGAAATTGTGATTTGTTAGCACTTACACCCACTTACAGAAATATAAACATCTATAAAATGTTTGTTATGAATTAAGTTTACTGAGGTCAAACATTTTGTTGAAAGTTTTCAATTTCCTGTGTCTAATCCAAGGGGCTTTAATAGATACCAAATGCAAAATGGGTTCATATTTAAAAGGCTGACAAAAAAGCAGCTTACCAGATTTTCTGTATATATTAGTCCTAATTTTTCTCACGCCTGAATGCATCATCACGATGACAGCAGTTAAAAGGCTTGTGCGATCTCCTAGTCTCAAATTCAAGCTATGCAGAATAAAGGAAAAGGGATCTGTCCAAACATATCTTTCTCTGCTATTTTAATCACATGCCTCCTTATCTTGCCCCACTAAAGTGGTGCAGCATTTCTAGAGGAGGCTGATGCTCACCTCTTGTGGAGAGATGGACTTTCCCTTAAACTGGTCTTACAGCAGATTAAGAGCTGCAGCCACCTGCAAGCTCACCTCTGCAAGGACAAGGTATACTACTGTGATAAGGGTTTTTTTAAGCGCTGTCAACCTATTTAGTAGAGATCAGTTATAAAATTTTAAAAAGAAAAATCTATCTCCGCTGATCAGAGGCATTTAATTATTTAGGATGTAACTGTACCCCTCAAGCAGTCAAAGGAATTTTGTCAAACAACTGATACCACAGGAAAAAAGTGCATGCCTTGAAAAACAAATCATGGAAATGCTTAGAACTCAGAGGTGATGAACAGAAATAATGAGAGAAGAAAATGTACTTTGCAGCTGAAATCCTGGAAGAGTTGCAAAATAGTTACTTTAAGGTGTGACTGTATCAAATTTAAAAAGACAACCCCAGAAAATGGATGAGGTTGAAGCAGGATGAAATTACCCAAGGCTACTCTTGTAATGATGCTGTGGGCTATTACTGCTGTTAAACTACCACCTTTTGCCCTGTCGGTGGATTAACAGCCGTTAACAATGGTCACTGAAAGTCAGAAATCTCAGATGAGAGAATACAATAAAACCCTATAATATATGCATATAATATTGCCTGATATTTCTCATCCATACACATATAAATACTAAATGTTAAATAATTAACTTACTATAAACAAACACTATGCTTTCATATTTAGTAGACAGATGACAAAGGCTGGCAAGCTGAGCTTCTCACACGGTGTCAGGATTTTGTGTTACTACTAGTGTGTACATGTATGTTATGTGCTCATTGAGGGGAGAGGATGTTAAGCAAGCAGCTGTAAGCCTTAGCTGCACATCACTTTATAGGACACAGCAGTCATGTGAACAATTTTAATTTCATCTGCCGCCTAGGCAATATTGATATTTCCTCTGAATGTTATATACATGCTTTCTTACCCATTTCAAATTATAAGCAGAATTATTAGTGCTGCAACCAATAGGGTTGCCTCATGTTTTCAGTAGCTTAAAACTCTGCCAGATATTAACTGTTCATACTGAAATTTTCCAAGCCTGAAGCAGAATAATTTGAAAAAGTTTCAGGTGATACAGTTTAGCTGTTTCTGAGAATGTGATTTGAAAAACATGTTGTTTTGCTTGTATTAAACCAAAATTCTAATAACTTTTATAGAGAAGCTGTAAGATTGTCAGATATTAAACTAGGGCTTGGAAATTTGGCTGAGGTGGCATCAGTGGTGCACCTTTTGTCATTGTAAATTTACCCAAATCAGAGCAAATCACAATATTTTAAAAGAAGCATCAAGTTTGCCGGTGCTGAGTGGAGACATGGCAGCGCGTAGGTGCTGAATTCAGGCAGTGCCCTCTGCAGCGGCTGGCCTCTGTCAGAGCATCCCTCACCAGGACTACTTCTACAGCTCTGACTCTTGGGTTTGTAGCACCAGGTCCCTAAGAATTGTCTCATATTTTGTCCTGGCTCTCAGCACTCCCTTTACTAATAATGGGAGACAGCTGAAGGTATCTTTATATGCGCATATCCCCATCACTAGCAGTAGGAGCAGTATTTGGAAGTAGGTATTTGAGAGAACGTATGTGCGGGAGTCTGGAGAGTCCCAGGACTCAGGAGGTAACACAGCATGGAAGAACGAGAATGAGCAGAGATATGAGACTGGGCTGAAGAGGAAGGGGAGACTGGAGCAAGAAGCTGAAGTGGGACAAAGGAGGTGCGTGGGGACAGGAAGAAGATGCTAGCTCTGGCTGGGGAATGGACGGAGAGGCTTGTGCCGATTAGACCCCGTGTCATTGCAGCACCTGGCCTTGATTCCACATTTTCAGCCTCGTTGCTCTTCTGTGAGCTCTGTTGCAAAGCGTGTCTCTCCTTCCATCCTGATGGCTGGAGAATACATAGGGCGCATGCTGCTGCTGGCGGGTGTCTCTGCTCAGGGAGCAGGGGTGTTTCCCACAGACCTAAAAGCTCAAACGCTGCTTGGGCCATTTGATGCTACTTTTGCTCTTCATTATGCTTTCTTCAATTAGAAACTGACGTTCAAAATCCATCCTACGTTAATGGCACACGAACATCGCAAAATCTAGCTCTCATAAACAAGAAAAACAATATTGTCCAAGATAAATGTAATTTATCTTCTGTGTGCCTAAATACGGTGGTATAAAATAATTTATTTTAATCCCAGTGATCCCTACGGGCCTCACAACTAAAACTGATGGCAATGAAAGTAAGATTTGATTGAAGAGATACACCAATGCTTCTGGCCCTGTTTGACATCTCCCATGCAAGATTAAGATGATAAAATCTGCCAATCTTGAATATGTCTCTTCTCCCCCAGTAGGAATTACACTCCACTACCATGTCTGAAAAGTGATGAACAGATACAGAAAAGCTGATGAGAAACTACTACTTATTTACAGTTCTAACAGCGTGAAGGCACAGGGCTATACATTGAATCACAAAGAGGAAACAACTGAGACCTCACTAGGTACAAGAATAATCTAAACTGTCATGAATTCTGTATTTCCAAACTTTTCAATTCTTGAATTTGCTGTATTACTGATTTGTAACATAATTAGCTATAATTTTTATATCATCTCATATGAGTTTCCCAGTTTCTTAACCACATATGCATTAGTACACAATGATGCAATTCAGAGTTTATGAGAGTGAGAATAAGCCTTAGGTAAATGTAGTGTTACCTAATACTAAAATACTGAAACATGAAAACTCTTAACATATTCAACTCCTTCATAGAATGACATAGGAGGAGAAGTTACAAGATAAAACAAACCCACCTGATTTTGAATGTTCCAGAGATGAGGAAGATCAGCTGAAAAAAGTCACAATTGCACCCAAGAATGACGATTCCAAGCGCATTTCAATGTTTTGTTCCATGTGTCAACAGACAATATATCCACACCACCTTATCATAAGAAGCCCCACAAAGCCCTAACTTTGCTGGTCTTTGACAGTCCACAAAGACTGACAACAAAACAGAGACGGAAACTAATTTCAAAATTGACCAAGATTCCTAAATATTGAGACACATAGGCAGAAGATTGATGATTCATTGGATTTCCTTATGGATAGTCACACTTCTACTTCATATTACAATCTTGCTAATATTAACAATCCTAGTACTTTTAAGAAAGTAAATAATTCTTTAATAAAAGCATTAGCAATTTGCCAAGATAAAAATTCCACGTGGCAGGGAGACATGGAAGACACATTTATTGTGCTCGACAACTATGGAAATAGGTCAGATACATGTTTTCTGGGGCTAGTTGATGGTTCTCATGGTGTGACAGCTGCAGAAACAGTTGCAGCAGAGCTTCCACTTTTATTTCTTGACCAGCTTGCTCAAACAGATTCCTCCTACAAGAAGAGTATGGATGAACAGCAAATTCTAGATTCTTTTGCCACAGTAATCAAGGCAGATTACAGGGAAAAAGAAAAGATTTTCTCTGATAAACCAAACAATGACGAGACCAAGATGACCAATACTTACGAATGGATTCACAAAGCGTATGCCAAGTCCTTTTGGAGAATGGATAGACTTTTACGACTGGGAAGGAATGAGGTTTCCAAAGTTCGCTGGAGTGGCTGTTCAGCCATTACCTGTTTGGTGGAAAGGCTCCCCAGTGAAGAGACAGATGGCACTAAGGAAGAAGAAAGAAAACATTTTGAAAACACCACACACAGTCCATTGGCCAGGACAGCCAGAGGTGTTGCCGGGTTACTGCATGTTGCCAATATAGGTACGTTCATTTCACACCAGGATTTTTTTGTGTTTCTCTCTGCTCAATAAAAAGGAAAAATAAGCTAATCTAGAGATTTGTTGGCAATAAATATTTGGAGATAAAAAGCTGCAATTACTTTAACTTGACAATGTGAAGGAGACATGATAAATTCCCTTGCAACTGATAGTGGTATCAGACAGTAAGTATTAAGCTTATCTAATAAGTACCTTCAATATGCTATTTGAGTTAAAGCAATAAAGTCAATTTACTAATGCAAAAGACAGTTAAGAAACATTCCACAAGTGACCTCTGTAAGAGTAGTAAGGATAATTTAAAAAAAAAAATTCAGTTGAGAGTAAGTTTCAAGTGTCATCATTTTAGGGCAGACAATCATAAATCTTCTGATTTTAGATCTGATAAATCCCTTGTGCCAATAAAACAGGCTTAAGATATTCTTTTTATTCATTTGTTTCATTGGCAAGGGACACCACATTTCGCTACCAGCAAACTGAAAACAGGATCTGTGCAGATCATCTCAATGATCAACTTCTGAAATTGGAAGTGGTTGTTATTTACTGTTGTTCTGGTCTATTCAGACCTGTTTTCTTACAAAGAAGAACACTTTGCCTTTCTATAGTGTAGAAAATCAGTTATTAATTACAATTAGAAACACTGATACATTCCTAATGCTTCTCCACCCCGCTGCAGGCAACATGATGCAAAGCTCTTTCAGTTCTCAGCAACTCTACTCATTAGATCTTCCCACCTGGCGATTTTTGCTACCAGTCAAATTCTGTAGTTTACATAAGACAGCTGTGAGATTACAAGCAAGACACTTGCTTTCCCAAGAAGGAGTACATAAGCAGAATTATGTACATATAAAAAGCTGTTGGGTGAATAGTTTCAAATGGATTTGTGTCTACAGTTATATTCCCTAGTGTCTTTCAGTCTCTGCTGGAAGCACGTCCCCAGTACTATTTTTCTATCGCTCTCTGTAGCATTAGTAAGGAGTGTGCCAACACTGCAACTTTCCATGAACAGGGGTACTCTTTCCTCCTCAGATGTGTGTATTCACAAAACATAAGACTTTCATATTTCTTCATACGACATTTGAAATTAATCAAGAGGGTCAAAGATCAGTAGGTAAAAGGGAAAACCATTTGAGAAGCTTCATTTCTTCAGGAGGCAAAAAAAAAAACCCCAAACCCCAACCCAAACTAGAAACATATTCCACCTTTGGAAAAACTGATCCCAGATTTACATTACAATAAAAATCAATAGTGGAAAATTCAAAAAAAAAAAAAAAAAAAAAAAAAGAGTATTTTTGCTTAACAATAACACGCAATCCTCTGCCAGCCAGAGGAACACTACAAACCAACTTGAACATGCACCGACAGTGAAATAAGGACCTGGTCCACCCCGTCCCTTTCCTCTCCTCCATTCTCCCGATGCTTGTTGCTACAGCCATACTTCCTCTACCTCCAACAAGCATTTTTGCAGCAATCAAAACTTTACTGTTACTGGTATCAAAATTGGTAGGTTAGCGCTAGCTCAGATACTCTAGCAGGAGATGCAGTCACACCTGTAATGGGATACAGGAGTAGTTCACATAAAGGTTGTACTGTTTTCAGAGCTAACACACACATTTGTTTTCACCTTATTGAGTAAGAAACCTATTTTTATTACAATGAGCTTGAGAGATAGGATGAAGTTAAGAAAATTTGGTAGACAATTCACCCAACCAAAATTTTCTGGTTCTAGTTACCTGCCTCCATCCTTCCCTCCCAGATGAGGTTTTATGCTGGCTGCAATTAAAGATATTGTAAACTCAAGTTCTGCTAATGAATTAAGGCTTGAAGTTGATCAGAGATACTTTAAGCCTTTTATGATTAAAGTCCACATTTTTGAACCACTTCTAAATACACATTTATTTAATCTAATACACTTAATATTCCACCAAACGTATCACATCAAAGAAAAAGATTTGCACAACATCAAGCTTCATTTTTCCCCCCAGAATGTGTTCTTACAGAAGTATAGACATGTTCCTTCAGCACCAGGTAAGCAACTGAAGAGGATGGTCAGATATGAGGAGCCGGAGATGGTGGCATTGGCCAGCTTTGTCTTCTTCATTTAGTCCCACATGGATAGGTCAGCTAGTTTTTGTCGATTCTTTTGCCCTGTCTCTGGTTTGCAGACAAGGGACTTGCATCCAAAAGCGACTAGATTTTACTCTTTCTCACAGTCAAATTGCTCCACATGGGTCATATTATGCCCTTTGTTAGGCTTACAGCTGGTGGTCTTACTCAGAGGGTTCAAAGGAAATTTTAGACAATCTTCTAGCTCTCCATGGAAATCAGAGGAAGGAGGAGGAAGCAAGCACAAGGAAACATTCACACAGCATAACTTAAGGCATCTACATTCTATAATCAATAAAAAGGTGTATCCTTCAGTTTGATATTCTGAATCACCTTCTAGCGAAATCTGCCTTCACACAGACTACACTTAGCTGCCTCCTACGCTAGACAACGCCAATACTTCCCAAGAAATACAGCTACTGTATACAGCAGTGCCTACTTACACTTTTCAGAGATCTGAGCCCTAGTCTAGCCAGATGATATTAAAAATACAACATAAATCAACACACTGCACCCAGCTTAGCGTCTGGAAAACTACCATCCCACTGAAGTTCCTTCTGTAAGACATCACTTTTGCCCTTATGCCAACAACACGGGAGCAGACCAATCACCTCCCCTAGCACAAAAAATGGTCTTCTCCCAGGGTAGCCATAGAGGATCTCAAACAATACATCACTATTTCACAGCTGTTTTTCTTTATGCTCTGCATTAAATCTGACAAAACTAGTCACCTGCAGTGTTGCAATTTCTAACACTTTTCATTCTCACTCTGCAGATTTCAAGAGTGTTGAGGGAAAGGTAAAGTACCTATTCCTACGACAGGAAAGAAGTTAATCCTCGACTTCTCATGATAGTTGTGAGAATTCTTGGTCCTTTGGGTCCCTTAACTGAGGAGGAGATTTAAGGCATCATGTTAGTAAACTAAATTCTACATGATGTCCAAATTATTTTCAGGTATTAAAAATTTTATTCTGCTAAAAATAGTCTGAACCTGAAAATTCTTGATGAGTTCATTCAGCCATAGTATTTTGAAAGCACACACTCTCCTAGAAAGAAAGAGTATTTGAGAAAAATATGCACTCTTGCTCAAAAAACCGTCAAAGTGCAACACTTCTATCAGCATATTAAGCTGAATTAAATGTCACTTAAGACTCCTCATAAGAGTTTAGTTGCAGTCAGAATAATAAGGTTCTAGAATAGTCTTCTGAATATCTGGGGGGGGGGAGACACAGAAAACTTTGCTGTAAAATAGAACCAGATGCGTTGATGGATATGTTATTGCCTGTGGCAGTAGAGAATTGAACTATGATCTCGGGTTTTTTCCCAGTCCTTAGCAAAAGGCTGTTAAATTAACAGCAGTAACTTAAAAAAAAAATCAGTATGCTACAATTCAAAATGTTATCTCATTCAATTTTAGGTAATGCACATGCAGTCTTATGTAAAAATGGAAAGATTTACTGCCTCTCAAAAGAGCACAGCACTTCTAACATAAGTGAGAGAAATCGCATACTTCAGAATGGTGGAAACATCAGCACTAATGAACCAGATGGATTAGTAGAAGGGTACCTGAGAACTACAAGGGGTCTTGGACATCACGGAGATCCAGTACTGAAGAGATTAGTTATACCTGTACCTCATACCATATCTGTCCCTATTGATGATACTTGTCAGTTTCTTATTTTAGCTTCTAATGGGCTTTGGGAGGTTTTGGATTATAATGAAGTACTTGCATTAACTCTAAGAATATTCACTCATTATTTGAGAATGTATGAATGTGTTCAACAAAAGGGAACTTCTCCATGTAAGTGTCAGTACTTGATGCCACTCACTGAAGACAACTTAAATGACTCAAAGGCTATTAAAGATCAGCAAAATGGAACAGAGATGCTGTATTCCGATAAAGACATTTTTCTCACTGACTTAAAAGGCAACCTGAAACAAAATAAGCCAAAATGTTCTAGGAGGAACTATCTGCAAAGTGAAGATGGAGTTCCTAAGGAAACTGATGACCACAAAAATCAGTCTGATCCAGAACTGTCTCTTTTCAGTAACAATGAAGTAAATTCACAGAATAGAGAGATGAAACAGTCTGATGCTAGCACACAAGGTAGCTCTGAAGAACTGAAACACTTTGAGGACAGAAAAGTTTATCTATGTAACAGATTTCAGCCACAGACTGCAGTACAAGAAGAAACAGACACTGACAATTCCTCTGCAACAGGTCCAAGTTACACCCATAAACAGCTGCAAGAGAATGTACAGGCAACAGGGTCTAAAGACATCAATCAGCCCCCAAAAGATTTAAGAGCATGCCTATCTAATTATGACTCAGTTCCACAACTGGCAGAAAAAATGGACTCCAAGATATTTTGTGACAAACTTGCAAGTTACACTGGTCAAGAACTGCTGAAGACTGTATCACCAGGGGGTTCCAAAGCACCACTACAGATTGAAGAGGACACAAAAACGTACTCATCCAACTGCAAATCACAAACTGCAGGAAGAGGCAGAGTCACCTCAGAGACACTCTACGACAACGCAGCAAGCTACATTAGTGAACAGCTGGTAAAGGCTGCGTTAGCTGCAGGTTCAAGAGATAATATTACTATTTTGATTGTACTTCTAAATGGATGTGATAAGATACCCTATTACCACAACATTTAAAAATTTATCATAGGATAACTGGAGCACTACAGTACATATAGTACACGTTCATATTTAGCCGTGTCATGAATTTACTCGTAATCATCTTAAATGCTGACCCATACAGTAAATCAGACATCTTGTCTGGAACTGTGCAAATGCAGTAAAATCTTCTGAAACTCTCAATAAGAAGCAGTAATCAAATATATTTTTTTTTTCTTTTAAACCACTTTATTCAAACCTGAGCACCTCAATATAAAACTAAACACTGGTGAACTGTCATTTTCCTTGCTAAACCCAGATTACTGCAAATTTAAAATCTGCACAAGTTTCTGCTATCAGTTCAACATTTAAATAGACTAATTCATCTCTTCTGACACACTTGGTAGATTTCATATAATGAAAATAACTAAAAGAATTAGTGCAATATACTGGACAGATCAAAATAAAATGTACTTTGGAAAACAAAGTTGCAAAGTTCATAACTGACAGACAGCAGTACTTATGTTACAGATAGAGGAACATCATTTATTACTGTTCTAGCCATAAAGGAAGAACTTAGAACCCCCTTTGATTAGAGAGGAAAAAAGTTAGCTTTAAGTAACTGTACATTCTGTATACCTTTAAGCAAATCTTAAATATTACAGAAAGTATTAAACAAATGTAGACTACAATGCAGAGTACCTATTTACAGTACATTAATATCCAAATTTAAAATCAAGTTGGATGTACATAATCGTTAGTGCACTATTTTTTTTCCTTAGGAGAAAAACATAAATTGTAATGGCCAGCAATGATCAAAAACAAGAAGGAAGTCACAGACACCAAGTTTGTTGTGGTTTTACTTGAAGAGCTCTTACAGTTTGCAGAGGAAAAAAAATACCCTAAGTCGCAAAGTTGAATTTACTGGTCTGTACCCTCTGAACAGATTAGAAATTAAGTTAAACTTGATTTATCACTAACTCCTTTAGATAACTAACTGGGTTGATATAATTTACATACAGTGTACCAACTAAAACTCCACATTCCTGCAAGCATAGGGTTTTTAAAATTGTTAATGCAAGTATTATTTGTAATTAAATTATTAAACTATGGAATGTATAACTAAAGAGTAGATACCTGCAGAAACAACCGGATGCATCAATACTGTGAATAAGTTTAAGTAATTTTAAGACCCTGTTTCTAAAAAAGGTTTTAAAGCATATTTGAGAATTATGGAAAGTCCCAATTCTATTTATTATAACAGTAATCAGTATTGAGGCTACAGGAACTGGCCAATTAGGTCCATAGAAAGTAGTTCTTCTACACCCCTAATGGTAAGTGATTTTTAAAACCTTTCAACTGAAGGAAGTTTATTCCGCTTCCATCTCTCCTCTACTGCTGAAACATTACAGCCAGTGGTGGATACATGCATGTTAAAATTTTAGGTCAAAAGAAAACTCTGTATCATGAACTTGATTATTATCATAAGTCTCTTCGCTGTTTGGAAGCTGTACTGGGCCAGGTTAAGCACTCCAATTCCATGGTTATTAACAGTTAGGAAGCAGAAGAATATTCAGAACAGTTTAAAGCAATTGATGTTTTAGTTACTACAACATTGACTCTTGGGTGGTTGTGTGGGTTCAGTAAGGTCTACTCCTCTTCCTCTGGCAGAGTTGGCTCCTGCATTCTGTGGTTCATTCTTGGGCAATTTTTTTGCTATAAAATCAACAAGAAATAGGAATTAAAACTGAGATTGTAACCAAGATTAAATCATCTGAGTACACAGTCAACACTTTATTACCCTATAAGCATATCAATATAATCACTATAAAATCTGATTAGATTCAGTGCGTTGGTAATAAAAGAAGTTAAGACACTTGACTTCTTAATTATTAACTACCTTATCTATGATTGTCAAGAGTTAAATGCAATAGTAACTTGAGCAGTAAAATGCATTTGCACAGGTATGCTATGCCAGTAAATGATGGCTCTTGCGGGAATCCACCTACACAGAACAGGCTTTAAGATCAGGATGTTAGTGCTATAAGATACAGAAAGAAAAAGCACAAAATACAGACAGAAATGGGTCAAAATACTGCCCAGCCATCTAACCAGAACAACTATTTGTGTACAACGTATAAAACGGCTCGCAGCACTAGATCAAGTCTCTCTTTTTCAAGCTCTCTCTTCTCTCCAGCTCTTGTGAATTAATTGACTGTGATCATTTCTTTGTTGCCCTGTAGCTCTCAGGTACCTCCTTGCTCCTGACATGAAAAATAAGGGTGACAAGTATTACCTTTCTGAGCAGTACCTCCTCCTAGCAATCTTCTGATGGAGAGAAAGCTGTTCTACATAAAAGGACTTGTGTGGGGTTGTCTTGCCCATGTTACCAGGAAAAACTTCTTCACTGTGAGGGTGACAGAGCACTGGAACAGGCTGCCCAGAGAGGTTGTGGAGTCTCCTTCTCTGGAGATACTCAAAACCTGCCTGGATGCCATCCTGTGCAACCTGCTCTAGGTGATCCTGCTTTAGCAGACGATCTCCAGAGGTCCCTTCCAACCCCCTACCCATCCTGTGACCCAACAATCATCCCTGTTCTACAGTTTGGCTGCATGCTTCAACTCCAAAGTAATTACTTTGGCCAGCTTTTTAAAGAACAACTCTTCCTAAAAGGAATAAAATGCAAGTATAACAGCCAAAAAAAAGCAGAGTACATATTATCAAGATGTGTTGTGGTGCTAGATAATCTCACGGTGATAGGTAATCTAGGCTCCCTTTCCCACAAAACGTTTGACCAGATGATCTTTTGATGTCCCTTCCAATTTGGGCTGTTCTATGACTCTATCACAGAGCCCAAGAGTTCACATGGTACTAAGCTGCTGTGACAATACAAAGGGACAAAGCACCAGCAGAAAAATGCCTTCACAGCACTGTCATTTTGGATTCTAGATACACTCTAAAATTGTAAAATAACATGATTTTTTTTAACTGGAAGTTCCGAATGAGCTCTAAAGCAGTCAATTTACAAGCAGCTGTAGCTTGCATCCCTCGATTCTGTCCATATTATAATTTTTAATTTTCTCCCAATTTTGAAGATCTTAGTTACATTGTCCTGAGAACTGCACCCATGTTGTGCAAAAGGCCATTCCAAGTTCCAGGTAATACTTATGTCCTCATCAAGACTTCCCTTCATGGTCCACTGCTGCAGAGATATTGTTCTGAGCATTGACAAAGCTGATTTTCACCCATCAATGTGAAAGAATACTCACACAGACAACCAACGTTGCAGACAAAATACTAAGGTACTAATTAGGCACTGTTTTCTCAAATTTACTTTGTATACTTCATTAAAATATGGGAAGGTAAGAATTATTGTTGATATAACAAATCACAAAAAAAAAACATTTTGGGGATTTTTATTTTTTTAAACAAGATGCAAACTGCACCTTTACACAAATTCATTTTAAAATTTCATCAGAACAATGTAATTGAGCATTTCTATATCATTAAATGCAGGCCTATCTCTAGCATTTATGAGAAAAATATACTTTCCACTCATAGTTATGTGTTTTTATGCCCCCTCTTGCCAAGTATTCATAGCTAATATGAAGCAAGTACTTGTTATAAAGTGCTGCTATAGTGATAATTTAATTTGGATCCGCTGGAAGTTTGAACCACACAACAAATTACCCTGTGCTTTACTGACTTGGAAAGCAGAAGGTAAGAGCTCTTTAGAAACATTTAATTTTGATAGCAATGCTGTTTTTCACAAAAATAAGTGGGATAGAGACATCACTGTAGTGCAAAATACAAAACAGATTTAATAAGGTTATTTGACACTATACATTACTATTGCCCAGTAGCAGAGCCACTACTGTGATTAAGGTTATTACTAAATACATTGGTGACCAAGCTCAAAACGCATGCTTTCTTTTTCCTCCACTTCCAAAATTTTATTATAATGAAATACAATTTTGTGTCTATCAATGGAATTCACAAAATTTCTTAGTAATGTATACTTACTATTACATGTTAGGATCTTTACAGAAATCCCTAAGATTATGTCAGGGCTAAAAATATATTAGTAAATTTACTTTTCACATGAAGCGTCCTTTACTTATACTTGGACATTGAATTTAAGCACACATTGTCATCTTTGGCACAACTAAGAAAAGCTGTGTAAAGCTTTTTATGGTTACCTGTACTATGGGAAAGGTGGGGCTTTTTTATATAACAACTAACCCTTAATTTTGGGTTGCACTCAAAGAGTTGTAGTCAATGGCTCAATGTCCAAGTGGAGACCAGTGACGAGTGGTGTTCCTCAGGGGTCAGTACTGGGACCGGCACTGTTCAATATCTTTGTCAGCAACATGGACAGTGCGATCGAGTGCACCCTCAGCAAGTTTGCCGACGACACCAAGCTGTGTGGTGTGGTTGACTCGCTGGAGGGAAGGGATGCCATCCAGAGGGACCTTGACGGGCTGGAGAGGTGGGCCCGTGCAAACCGCATGAAGTTCAACAAGGCCAAGCACAAGGTCCTGCACATGGGTCAGTGCAATCCCAAGCACAACCATAGGCTGGGCAGAGAATGGATTGAAAGCAGCCCCGAGGAGAAGGACTTGGGGGTATCAATTGATGTAAAGTTCAACATGAGCCAGCAGTGTGCGCTTGCAGCCCAGAAAGCCAACTGTGTCCTGGGCTGCATCAAAAGAGGCGTGACCAGCAGGTCGCGGGAGGTGATCCTGCCCCTCTCCTCGGTACTGCGTCCAGCTCTGGGGGCCCCAGTACAGCAGAGACATGGAGCTGTTGGAGCGAGTCCAGAGGAGGGCCACGAAGCTGACTGGAGGGCTGGAGCACCTCTCCTATGAGGACAGGCTGAGAGAGCTGGGATTGTTCAGCCTGGAGAAAAGGCAGCTCCGGGGAGATCTAACTGCGGCTTACCAGTACCTGAAGGGGGCCTACAGGAAAGATGGTGAGGGACTGTTTATCAGGGAGTGTAGTGACAGAACAAGGGGGAATGGGTTTAAGCTGAAGGAGGG